CCACCGAGGCCGAGATCATCGCTCGCCCGCTCCACTTCAAGGGCGGCAAAGTCGCTCCCAACCGTCTTGCCAAGGCTCCACTCGAAGAGACGCTCGCACGCACGGGAGGTGGACCGCCCAACTTTGCTCACTACGAGCTCTACCGCGCCTGGGCACGTGGAGGCTGGGGCCTCATCATCACGGGCAATGTGGCCATCGACCCGCGCCATCTCGGTACGCCGTGGGATGTGGTCGTCCCTGCCGAAGAGCGAAACATCGTCCACTTCAAGGCTGCCATGAAGCGCTATGCCGATGCCTGCACTGGACGCGATCAGCCCGATGTCGTCGACCCCGCCAAGCGCCCGCTCGCGGTGGTGCAGCTGGTGCATGCCGGTCGTCAGTCGATGCGCGGGTCGGGTCGTGGCATCACCGAGCCTGCGCTCGCGCCGTCGGCAGTGCCCATGAGCACCATGGGCGGCCTGGGTTCGATCAGCCGCTTCCTCGACCACATGCTCTGGGGACCTGTGCAGGCCATGACCACCGAACAGGTGCAGCAGCTGCGCGACCGCTTCGTCCAGGCCGCCCTCATCTGCGCCGAAGCCGGATTCGACGGCGTAGAGATCCACGGCAGCCACGGATACCAGATCGCCGCCTTCCTCAGCCCGCGCACCAATACCCGAACCGACCAGTACGGCGGATCGCCAGAGAATCGCGCACGCCTCCTGCTCGAGATCGTCGACTCGGTCCGAAAACAGGTCAGCGACGACTTTATCATCGGCGTCAAGGTAAGCAGGTCGCGCACTCCAAGCATCCAGAGTCGAAGCTGACTTTGATTGATCTCGTCGTTGTGTTGAACAGCTCAACAGCTCAGACTACGTTCAGGGCGGCTTGACCGAGGACGACGCGCTGCTCAACGTCAAGTGGCTTGCCGAGAACGGCGGCGTCGACTTTGTCGAGATCAGCGGTGGCAACTACGAGAACCCTTGTAAGTCACCACTCGTCATCGCTCCGTGTCCCTACGGATCGGTACTGACTTGCTTCCTCTCATATTCGGATAGCCTTTGTGATGGAGGGTTTCGACTCGGAAGCCGAGAAAGCTAAGCTGGAGAAGCTGTCCAAGAAGCGTGGTTCTGCGAACGGCGCCACCGACGCCAAAGCGACCGGTACAGGAGCTGCGACCGTGCAAGGCTCAGGTGTGGACCCCACAGCCAAGACGACGGCACGCACGGGTAAGCGCGAGGCATTCTTCCAGAACTTTGCGCGTCAATGTCGCTCGACACTCCCCGCCGATACACGGCTCAAGATCATCCTCACTGGCGGTCTTCGTTCGCGCCACGGCATTGCGCAGGCCATCCTGCCCGACGATGGAGCTGCCGACATGGCGTGTCTCGGTCGTCCAGCTGCCGTGTTTCCTGACCTTCCCAAACGTCTTACTGACACGTCCATCCCGGATGGCTCGGCTGAGGCAGGTACACCAGAGTACAAGGTGCCTGCTGTATCGAGCCTCGCGCTCGTGCCCACCAAGATCGTCGGTGCTGGTTGGGGCACTCTGTGGCACACGTTCCACATGGCCCAGACCGTGTTGGGAAAGACACCGGATCCGAAAAAGTCGACGTACGCGCTTATCAAGGCCTACACCGGAACCGGTGCGACACAGACGGCGTTCAAGGAACCCAACGATGACTGGTACATGCTCCTCGTCATGACCGCCATCCCCGCCGTCGCGTGCATCGCCGTGCTCCTCTTTGGAAACCGATCCTAGATCATCTGTTTGCTTGATTTTTATGCTGGCCTATGGAACCTCGCCATTGCACCTATTGTATTAGATGGTGACGTGAACAGTAAATGTAGTGCACGAGCTCACTTTGTGCAGAGGGATGAGGCCCCGCCAAGGCATAGATGAGCTGCTCTAGAGGAACGCTTGCGTTTCGGTGGAGGGGCACTAAGAGGACCCTGCACGTCTGCTCTCTTTGCACACTGTTCTCGTCTAGGTTCATCCCCGAGCTTAGCCCATCCTCAACTGCGACGCAATCCACACCCGCTGCACTCGCGTGGTCGCATCCTGCGCATCCGCATTGTCGCATTGGGTATAACGGCGAATCTAGTCTACACTGATCTGAGGGATTCCCGTTCCGATTGTGCGGGGCATCAGTTGACAGCCGTCGAGGTGACGGTAGCCTCGTGGCCTTGGCTCTTTTCCTTGTTCTCCACGGACGCCTCATCGGTCGATCTTGTCCTGCTGCCCTCCTCAAACGTAGCCGGGTGATCCTTATCGACGAGACCCATCTGGGAGATGTCGTATCCGTTGTCGGCGAGATACTGACGGAACGCCTCGTCTTCGTGCTTCATGCTATCCTGACCAATGGTCGGGATGAAGAAGAACGTGATGATCGCCGAGAACACCGCCAGACCACCGGCAATGTAGAACGGACCGGCGTAGTAAATGTTGTCGTCGGGCGTTCCAAGGTCGGCCTGAATCTGCGGGTAGGCATACGAGCCGGAGAAGGCGCCGACCTTGCCAATTGCGGCTGCAATGCCGTAGAACGTGCCACGCACAGCTGCGGGTCCGCACGCCTTGGAAGCGAGCAGACCAAGGTTGTTACCAGGGCCCAGCTCTCCTGCAGCAAGGAAGAGACCGTAGACGACGATGAATCCGCCGAGCGATTCTCGGATCTTGCCGAATGCACCGCCCATGACAAAGGCAAGCACGGCCTGGATGAGCAGACCGAGGATCATGGTGTGCTTGGGGCCGAGCCTGTCCGAGATAAACGCGCCGATGATGGTACCGGGCAGATAGAAGCAGTTGAGCGCGGTCGAGTAGGCCAGACTCTTCTTGAGCGTATCGTAGTCGGAACCGTTGCCCGGGTTGAGCTGCTTGATGATGATCGACGAGTAGATGCCCGAGGGGTAGCTGACGTAGTCGTAGGCGAACCAGGCCAGGCAGACCGCAACAAGTCGGACCCAGTAGCGCTTGAAGATGAGCAGGTAGGGGATGTTCTTCTTGATGGCACCCTTGCGGTAGTGCTCGGGCTCCTGCATGCCCATACGGAAGAAGAAGACGAGCAGCGGCGGGATAGCACCGAGACCGAGCGTCAGGCGCCACACCCAGGCCAGGTGGTTAATTCCGAAAATGAGCAGCAAAATATACGCGACCAGGACCGCCACCACGAAACCGAGGTCGATCATGGTGTTGGTAGCGATGATGAAGTACATCTGCTGGCGGCTCTTTGCTACACCTTCGCCTTCCGTATTCTCGGAAGCTGCGACGGAGCCTGAAGGATATTCGGCGCCGATCGCGATGCCGATAATGAAGCGGTACGCAGCGAGGGCGGCAAAGAGACCACCGATGGATCCACCTGCGCCCCAAGCGCCGGCAATGAGGACGGACCAGAGACAGAGCCAGATGGAGGCGAACCACATGCCGTGCCTGCGCCCGATGCGGTCGACGAGAAATCCAAACAGGAGCATGCCGAACACGGTGCCGGCAAAGACGAGCGAGGAGAAGCGCGACTCGAAGGTGGCGAACCCGGGGTAGTCCGGGTAGGCGTACGAGAGGATGGTCACTGTGGGTCCCGAGGCGGCATTGACGTAGCCGTCGGAGAAGAGCGCCGCGCCACAGGCAAAGATGAGTCCGACGGCGCCGAGGCGCGACTTCTTGGCCACAGGCTGGGCGGGGGGAGAGTCGACCGGGGCGGGATTGGCGATCTTCTCGCCGGCGGGCGAGATATCGTCGCGATGTGGCGTCGGCTGGATGTCCGTCATTTTGGTGGTGGTGGTGGTGGTGGTGGTGGTG